GGATGGATATTTCGGTGAGTAAGAAAGCCACGCACGACCCATAGGGTTGGACTGCGCGCTTGGTTTTCATCGTTATTGATAAGATTGTTAACATTAACTAGCATATATTCTTAAATACCTTGTCTGATTGAACCGATGAAGCACGCCCATTTTTGACGTTTTCAATATTTTCCATTTTATTCTAATAGTGTCGTCAAGCTCGCTCCGCGCGTTCATCTTTCATTTGTATTAATATTCAGTTTCACTTGCATGAATCAAATCACATTTTTTTAAACGAATCACAAATTTATAGATGAAATAAAAAATTTTTAAATACACCACATACATGAAACTATTCTGTGTTTTGAAAATCTATCAGTATCAATTGGTAAAGAAAATATTAAAATTACATTTATAGATTTAATAGCAATTTCAAATCTAATTACGTAGCAAATTTCTAGATGTTTAGCTATAAGTAATGGGAAACGTACTAATTGTAAGTTTGTTTCTTCTTTTTCGTTTTCTAAATAAATCGAACCGACAGCTTACATTTCTTTATCACAATGACATTTTGTAATTTTTTATTATATTCGTTATAATTCAAGACTTTTTATACGATATCCTCATATCAATAGATTTATTTTGTTCAAAAATATTGGAAGTCAGTTTGAGCTCATTTGGGGCAGTGATTTCCATAAACTAAATTTTGTAATTTTCACTTTTAGTAATCAACGTTATTGTTATCTTTCATCTATTCAATCGTTACATTTTTTACTTTATATTTACATTTATAAATTTTAATTTTTGGAACATTTTTTCTGAACTTATACTTTTTATTGGTGATTACATTTATTTGAAGTTAAACTTGATCCCCTTATAAAAAAGTGATGGAAGCCACATTAAAGCATTTTATTCGTGGCCAATCGGCCCAAATGAAAAAAACCGCGAGAATTCAAATTGATTTTAGTTGATTTTTTATTTCAGATTTAATTTAATTTGTTTTTAGCAAAAAAAAAATATAAAAAATATAATCTTTCATTCATCATTTATAATCATAATGTAGTTCGTTGTTTATCAGTTTTATCCCTTATAAAAAAGTGATGGATGCTACGTTGAAGCATATAGTGATCTGATGGCTGAGATGTAATTGCGTGATATACTTATGTGGCGGAAAATAAGCATATAGGTGTGGTTTTAAGTTGAGATTTTACTAATAAAAATTCAAGCCATCATAATTTATCATACGGATAATTTTGAAGATAAGAAAGTAAAAAAGTAGGCTGTAATATTGTTTATACACTCATAATATGAAACTAACAACGAAGAAATCGTTTCATACAAATAATATAGGTTGAAATTGCTCTAAATATTTTCTATTAATAATCGAAAATTTGATTTTTGAATGTGTAAAATAAAAGTTGTAATGCTGCAATCTTTATTCAAAAAGTAGAATAAAAGTTTAATAATAAATTAACCCGTTGAGAAAAAAATAGTATAAGATTATATTTATTGCAGTTTTTGATATAATAAATCATAAATTTGAAAACGTGTTTCATCACTAATACACATTTTCCGCTGCGATATTGGTTTTTAAAAAAAATTGAAAAATCTACCTTTGAAAAAAGTAATTTGTTAAATATGTTAATATTGATATAACAATAAGAAATAAAAAAAGAAGGTAAAAACGCGTAAAATTTATCTAAACCTATATATTTTTATTTTCCTATATGAAAAAGTGCTGCTGAGTGAAGTAATTTTATTTATGACCTGATTGACTGAATTTCGTCACGTGTGTCACAATTATGAGTAAATCGGTCATAATAATAAATCGAAGTACTTTACATCTAGCAATACAAATAAGTATAATAATTTGTAGGCATTAAACTGTAAATGACTTCCACATTCTCTCAATGGCCTAACCTTAAAAAAAGACGATAAAGTAATCTTAATGCACTTCAATTGCATTTATTTATTGGACCTATAAATTAATTGAATATATCTTTATTGTAAAGTTTAGCTTCGGATAAATATGATCAATATTGAGAAAAATGGTAAATTGATATTTTATATGAAATTCTGCGAATTTATTTCGATGCAGTCGGCACCGTTAATTTATGTTAAATAAATTTTGAAATTTAATTTATAAATGTAAACAAACTCTCCAAATGATTTCAGATAAACAATGGAAATAACAGTTAAATTAAAATAATATATCTGTTGATATGGAGAAGTCCTATGGAAAGCTTGATACCATAAACCAATACGTTAAAAAAGAAACAAAATTAAATTGTTAGGCGCAGCTGATGGTTCTATTCTATCCTTATCCTTGCCTTATATTTATTTTTATTTTTTATTTTTATACTTTTTACATATTTTATTCTTATCTTATCTTTAAAAAAAGATGAGTCGCTGACATCCAACGTTGTGATTTGTTGATGCAAAAATAGAATGCGAAATTTGGATTTTTCCTATACTTTGAAATATTATTATTATTATATATCAAAGAGTGTAAAATTTCTATTTTAGCGATAAATTCAATCTATGAATCATTAACATGGATAATAAACTGCAAGAATGGAAATATGTTAATAAATTGGTTTAAGAACATAATACGTTATGTTTTGAAATTATTTGAACAAATTGTTAATTTTATAACCATCTCCGATACTACAATCAATATCGTGGTGTTAAAATTTGGTAGAAAGAAAAAGAGAATGAATAAAAATAAAATAGAGACTACATATTTATCTTTTGTATATTTTAAATTAAAACGTATGCGAACAAAGGAAATTAATTATCAAATTATTAAACCCATTAAATTAGAAGAATATTCACGGGTGTTTTCATAGTGGCAGCAAAAAGTACACGATATTAAATGTATTACTCATACTAATATAAGATTGGAGCCATAATCACTACTATTGAATATGTAAGTTTAGTGTTGTATAATAGTATAATAGTATAATAGCATTATTGATCTTAGGTCGAATTAATCTTTTGAATAATTTTTCCAATATATCTTGAAATGAGTAAAAGTTCATCGATTTTTGAGAAAAAATGGGTGCATATTCTATTTTTATTCATCAATAAATATTGACGTATGTAGTCTATTTTAAACAGCATGACTTATTCGTGTCCATTGAAATCTTGAAGTTGACATGTAAAAGGTTCAAATAACGTAATAAATAATAGTAAAACAAAAAAAGAGCGCGTGAAGCGCGCTAAATAACACTAGTAACATACATATTCAATAAATCTATATTTTCTATCAATGAATGTAATTTAAGTGAAGTAAGATTATTTTGCCATATTGTTTAAGGTTAAGCCGTCGAATGAATGTGGATTTTATTCTTTTTTTGATGTTTTCGAATTGTCTTATATTTTAGTCATTCAATCAATCGTTATTAACTCAAGCACTTTACTAGCACCGATTTGCTACTTTTGCTATCAATTCACTTATACATACCCAGATGACCATCGTTAAGCCAATTCCTGTTTTAAAAAAGGATTTACTTTATGTCTCTTCAAATAAAATGTTAAGATGACACTATTAATTTCACAGATGTTAATCAAATTATCTGTTTCTAGTAATTATTCCAGCGCCATTAAAAAAAAATGTCTTATTATTATAATAATGTTAATAATAATGTTAGTTTCGTAAAACGATTTATTAACGGCATATTTCCATTTTTGTAGTTTATTGTTCATATTAATATATTCATAAATTGAATTCACTGCTGAACTATTCTAGATATATAATAGAACTATTTCTAAGTGTTATATATTCAATAAATAAATACTCAAGCTTGTAAAGATTTATTGTATGAGAAAGCAAGACATATCAGAAGAAGAGTTAGTAAGCGATTGACTAACGCCACATGCATGATAAACAAGTATGCGTAACGCTATTCAACTATTTAGAATTAATTAAAGAATCATACATTACACTAAGTATACGAAAATTCAAAATTTTGCGCTCTTTTCCGCATCAACCAATCACAATGCTGGATATCTGCGATTCTCTGTTTTGAGTCAGGAAATTATTAAATGGAATACAAAAGATTGTCTGCGACAAAAGTGAAATTCGACGTTCTATTTATTAAATAATAGAAAATTGAAAAAGAAAAATTGTAAAAATTTCAGATTTGAATTCATTCATTGTAAACAAATTTTTGCTTTATTATAATATAATGCATTTGTTTTGATCTTTAAAATATAAACTCTCTAGTGAATTTTCCGTAATTGAATATTGCAAGATACAAATACTTATTTCATTAATTACGTAATAAAACATATTAACTAATGTTTCAATTTGTTAAGCATTAACATTAATTATTTCTGAGAATCCCAACGTACTGGTGCCCATTATCAACTTCTAGTTTTTTAATTGATACTAGTTTAACTGAATAAATAACTTTACATTTCATTTAAATCGATCAACACTATTTTGCAAGACTTATTGATCTTACGTCTTATCAAGTTGAGTCTCTCAGTTTTTGTCATTTCAAATTACACAATTGTCGTCATACTCTCCACTACTTCAACTAACAATCGTACTGACTTTCAAAGACAATTCGTCCGATCGCCAACATAATACTTGAAGTACCTTCTCATTTCGAGTAACGTCTTTGCTTTTTCGGATCGAGTTTGCCTACCTATTCTTGTCTGAATCAATCTAACATTCTTAGGTCAAGTAATTTCTTCCTTCGTTTGTAGAACGGTCTTTTTATAATTTCTTGTAAGCTTTGAATTATAACGAACAGAGTCTATTTTTTATTATCATTGTGATAGATTTTTACATGTGTTATTTCTATTATAAATTATGAACTTACTTTTTTAAGTAATATTATGGATGTACTCTGTTAGAGAAGATCAATCAATAGTTTTTCATTCATTCTGCAACACGCTTAATATGTTAATCACACGCATATACTAATTGTTCCTATTACTCCAAGAATTCATATTTTCAGTTTTTGAATGAAAGTATTTTCCAATATACTAAAACAATAAACACAACTTACCATTAATATGAAGATTAACATGAATGAATTTGGGCGGATGGGTACTAATCTGGCACTCGTACTGTCCCTCGTCGGTGCTATTGACGTTCTTGATTTGCAGGCGCCAGTTGTCCGGATACTGAAATTCTACTGTATACCTTGAGTCGCCAGTGTAGGTTTGTTGTCCTACCGTCAACAAGCTCATCGTCTCGCCGTTGTCTTGTCTCCGCACCCAAGACACCTGCGCGCAAAATCAGTCGAGGTCGATCTATATACATATACAACGTGATTGTTGCTGGCTTAATCAAACTTGGACGATACTTCGTTATTCTATCAAATGTTAAAAAGTAGAGAAATTTCGTTAACAAGATCTCTACAAATTTATAATTTATACTTTATGTTTCAATATAGGTTTGTGTTTCGTTTCTTTATCAGATAAATCGACAGGAATGAGTAATTCTTTTAAAAGAGAAAAATATACTGCGAATGGTTTTTTCTTTTATTTCGAGAATCAATCACCTTTAAATTGAGTCGTTACTAAAGTGAATAATTGAACGCGTATTTCCAATTAGCGTGATAGACGCGACTCGTTTTTATTTCGTAGGTACTGAAAAAACACTGAACGGTATTAAGAGTTTACAGGGAAATTAAATTAGTAGAAGTTGACTATATCTGTTGAGCAACGAATAACATTTCCAATTCGATTAATTATTCAAACAACATTTATCAATTACAATATTGCAACAAACTTAAATTTGGAAACTACGATGTGTTATTTCATATTTTATTTGTTTTCACGATATATCCATCCAAAGTATTCAATGTAAGTATTTGTTTCTGTACATGAGTAACTATTAAAATGTCACAGAGAGACAAAGTTATTAAATTAATTACCTTAGTATCGTATATGTCATTGTCAGTTGAGCAATAATAAAGGTTATTTATGTCGGTGTTAGCTGTTAACGGAATAGATTTGGCATTGGTTCAATTTTGAAAACAATTTAAAGTTAGAGGATCCTATAAAATAAATAATATCCGTAAATAAACCTATACAATTAAAACCATGAAAGATATAGATATTCAAATTCAATTTATTTTTAAGAATGATTTGCTCTCTTTATAATAATAAGCTTATTTTCTGCACATTCGATTTTTGGACTTACATTAACTGATATAAGGAAAGACATATGAACTCATCGATTAATATCAATGGACTTTCGTATCAAGAAAATGGCAAGTTGCTATCGAGCTTTATTTAAAAAAAATTTTTGTAATTATTTGAAGACTTATCAAAGAGGCACGGGGGTGAAGTAAAATTTAAAAAGCATCGATCTCAACGTTAAGTACTCGTAAGAGCATTGCGGAAGGGTTCAAATATTTAACGAGGGTACCGTGTGGCTGGACGACGTTGGACAAATGCGCACCCATTTTAAGGGACGCGCCAAGCGCGAAATTGAATCTTTGACCAGGGTCTTGGCCACACGGTAAAACGAGTCTTTAGTTTTTTATCTACCAGTTTTCTTTACGTTAGAGTTATTTGTTCTTTTTTTTTATTCCCCTACATTATTTAAAAATAAAAATAAATTCATACAATTTAGAAAATAAAATAATAGTATTGCAATACGGAAGTCCAGAAAATAAATCAATATAAACCATTTATATTGAATTACAGTTTTTACAAGTCAATTCTACACAAACTGCTTAATTTAGCTTTCATGGAGACGAAGCTTTGTTTTCATTTTGTTCGAAAATTTTTTATGTTTGTTGCTACTTTTTATTTTTATCATTTTGTGCTCCAACCTTGGTTCACTTGCAAGATAAAAATTTCCCAATGCAATTAATAGTCTTCCTACTTATTATTTATTATAACTCGTGGGAAAACAATATAGTTATTTTTTATCAAGTCCGTCCGTAAAGATCTGTGTTCTGTTCCGTCAATATGACTTTTCTGGATAAATTTCAAGAAATATTTGTTCTTTAAATTCGTGTTCATGTTAAGAGATTAGACATACTTAGCATAATTTTTCCAATATTATAATTCAAAAAATTAAAGATACAATAGGAGCACACATCACATCTTTAACAATACTTTACAAGTAAAAGGTCAATATTATTCTCACTTTTCTAAGTTACAGGAAATCAATAAACTTACGGTCTTGTCTTGTAAGAGAGATATCCGACAGTCGAGCGTGACATTGGCTCCAGCCTGTGCCGTGACGTTGGTGCTTTTACCCTCAAAGTGCGGACCCCAGCGGTGGTCATGATAGTGTTGATGCTTGTTGTGGCTATGTGAATCAAATATATAGTTGAGCATCGGAGAATCCGTAGCTCCCGACCGCTTCGACGTCGTTGCAATCTTTGACACTGTCGTCGCCGCCATTGTCGTCTTGGTTGCGGTAACAGTTGCGGTCGTCAACGTAGACAGCGATGCTTGAGTTGATATGAATAAATCTGTAATTCATATAAATATTCGGTGTAAAATACATATTAATATATAAAATGGAATAGAAATCCCTGCTATAATTTACGACGTAAAAAACATTTTAATGGTGTGTTATTACAGGAAAAACTGCGAAAAGCCTCTTAAGCACAGCATTCTGATCCTATTTGATTGAGCTTATTATGCACAATGGATAGCTTAGTAGAACAAGTAGATCACAGTTGTTTAATTATTCAATATGAATAGTCTCAATTTCATATTTTTGTACTTTCTACATAAACGTTATTTCATAATGTTTCTTATAATTTCGATATACCACGACCACAGCGGAAACTCATATTGACGATAATTCAACGTTAAGTATTGTGCTCTAGTTGAAAAGTACACAATAGCCGACGCGCAGGCTTTCAGGGAGCTCGATTTTTCTTTTGGCACGTCGATGTAAGCAAGCGAGTTCGAACTGCTTTTGAAAGGCTCGCGCAGTACTCGAAATGCTCGCTAGCTCTCTCACTCTCTCTCTCTCTCTCTCTGTCTCCCTTTCCCTCTTTAACATTAACTGCGTTGCTGAGAGCAGCCCAGAGAATACTTCGTTACTCGGACTTCTCTCAAGGCGATGCTTCGAGAAATAGAAACCACCGGGAAAAGCCGCAATCGAAAGCTGCAGAGATAGATCGACTGATTGGACAATTGAATTCAAGCTTGCTGCTGGCAGTGTGGAATCGGGTTTCAGGATGATGCGTATATATAGCGTATAACATGTTATCTTGTTTGTATCATAGGTTCAGTTAGCTTTTAAGAGAAAATATCACAGCTATACCTCTCATGTAAAACCATTATTGTCGATTAAGATTGCGTGAAAATATTTTTTTACCCTCCATAGAAGTCAAGCGTAAATGTTCCAAGTTGTTAAAAATTTGACGAAATTTTTTCTATAAAAAATTAGATTGACTGGTATTTTAACTTAACTATAATAGAGCCTTAGAAAAATTAAAAAATGCAATTATGTTTGGTTGAAAAGTAAAATATCATGAACGTATATAGGTCAGTGGATGGAGGCGACTTCTTACCAACGAACGAGAAGTGGTTTCTTTCTTTTCCCTCTGCCAAAGGTCTTTTGCGGTCATTGTACACACCAACAATATCGTGACATACAATACCAAAAACGAGTGGGAGAGATAGGAGGAAACTCAAATAGAAGCTGCACGCCAACCCCCGCCTCTGCTCCTGTTTTGGACTTGAAAAACGTGTACAAATTCAAGTCGTACAACTCATTCGCACACTCATCCCGGGATTTATTGATTTTGCAAAATTGTTTCACGTTGAAAGTTAAAAAAGTGTTACATAAATGGTCACTGGAAATGAAATAAAAAGTTATTTTTTCGAGGGACACGATAGATTAACGCGTATTTTTTCCAACCACGATAAAATTGTAGCATAGAAGAAATAATAGACAACGATTGTTTGTCAATAAAAAAATTATTACAACATTGATTGTTAGTGAAAAGTATATTTTCACAGACGTGTTTCAATAATTTGTTTATTATGCAAGGATGAAGCACAGATATTGACCCATTACTGAACAATGCCACGTTTTTTAAAACGACGATGCAATTTCGGTTGTCCTAGAAAAGCTTTTAAATTTATACGACACAACTATTGCAGAAAAAGACAGTAACGAAAGGATCACTGGAATTCAGATTAAACAGAAAGGAAGAATTTACATTTTCAATGAGGTGAAAGGTGCAGACAGAAAGATAGATTTCAATTGTAACTACTTTAGAAAGTAGTTTCCAAGCGTGAGCAGCACTACGTTGTATCCCTAACGAGTCTGAAAAATTAAGTCTACTTTTGAAAATAAGTCACTACTACATCACCATAACAAACGATCCTCAAAAACTTCTGAGACCAAAAATAGAATAATCTTGCTCGCGTAAAATTCACGCCTCTCGTATTCTATATTCTTACCAAGTATAATCCTTCATTCTTTCCTCCGCTTTGGTGCGATTCTTTCTATTACCTACCAGCACTTTCGCGAAATATTCGTTGTCATTATGCATACAGCAGCTCGAAGCGTAGAATTAAGAATAAAAGAAGATAAAAGAAAGTCACGAGTTCGCTTGAATTTTGGCTAGCTAACTGTTCAGGAAACTATTCGGAACGAACGAATTTTACATTATACCGGTGAGATATATAAATCATACGAAATGTGAGAAGATCTTTTTGTATTTTAATTTTGATGCCATATTATTTCTGACACATTAATACAATGATATACAATCGTGCAAAACGAAAGTCATAGGTATTTTACAAAATGTTGACTGTTAAAAGTCGATCATTAAAAGTATTCGAATTATACTTTTAATATTGTTCGACGTAATAAACGATCTTTAAATTTTATAAATCAAGAATGATTCTTTAATAATAGATATGACTATGGATTTATATAAAAATAAGTGAAAAGTAGAAAAAGATTGAAATCAAAATTAAAGGTTAATAGAAGATGATCGGGAAAAACTGATTAAAATTCTAATGTATTGTTGGAAATGTATCTTGGTTACCAGATGCAAAAATTCTCTCTAGTCTTGTTGGCGTCGGTCAATATCGTTTACCTTTCACCTTTATTTACATCCTTTTCAGTCCAAGTTCATACAAATTATTGAATTAGTATTCAAAACCATAATTCTTTTATCATATTTTATTACATTTAATAACGTTTTCATTTATAATTGAAGCTAGATGCATTGTTAAATTATTTTCATTAAACGTTTAGCCAACGTTAAATTTACTTATCAAATTATATTAATTCCATATTTACAATAAATATTCAGCAAATAGGTAATACGTATTCTCAATACATAAGTTTAACAATATCTTATTTTTAATTTTATAGAATCTTGAATAGTTTTTAGTTGTGATGAAATTAACTATGAAAAAGAAATATATCACATTGCTATATATTTTAGCTTCTTAAAATTTTTTTTACCAACTAACTATAATTAAACTAGATTTAACATTCTCATATATTCACTTAAATAAATTGACCACCGATCTATGTATAAAAAGCACAAATAAAAAGTTTAAATATTTCACTTGACATCTTCATTCTACCATATATTGTTTTATGGTCTTTAGTAGATTCCGGTGACTTTTTCTACTGAGAAGGACTTTTTCGAAAGAAAAAAAATAGAAAGCTTCTTTTCGATTGGAAAACAACTTATCTTGAATAGAACGAGTATCGAATTACAAGAGGGAAAGAATGGATTTAAAAGCCTCTTAAAAAGGTTAAAAAAACACAAGCTTTTCTGTTTTTCATTCAAATTGAAATCTTGTAATAGTCTATTTTTGAGCATATATTAGCTGTTAAATTATATGTTGGTCATTTGAACAAACTTCAAACAATTATTATGAAAAATTCGTTTTATTGTAGTTGATTTACTTTTCATCACATTTTATAGTATAGAAACATGAAGCATTCAAGTGATATTTTTTACTTGAGTGAGTCTCATTACTAAATGCTTGTATAACTCGAATGGTGCCAACACCTGCACCACGCAAAATAGCGATTCACTGTTCTTTCACTCGAACATCTTTCGTCGACCGTATATCCGCGTCCTTCCTTAATTTGGAAGAGATTTTCGTTACGGTTTACTGAACTGTTACTGCATTTAATACCTAATTAGATGGAATAGAAACATTTTTACATGCCATTTCAATTATTTAAAATCTAGAAAATTCACTGAATAAAATTCAGTTGAATTTTAAAGAAATATTTTTCTTTAGAGAGATACAGATAAGAATTTTCTTTTTTCTTTTCAGACATTCAAGCTTACTTGAGCTTATTGTGCTATGGAGAGTAGTGTATATGTACATTATAAATACAGCTCTTATATACTTCGGTTTAATATTTCATTTTTAAATACAAAGGGTAGAAAGCACATATACGATAAATTTATATAAAATTTTTTGCATACATTTATTCAAGAAAAAAAGAATATTGTTACATAATCCATTCTCATGTTTGATTTCTTTATAAGTAACTTAATAGGTAGAGGAAGTTGCAAATTACGTTTAAATAGTTTTTATAATAACACTTTCCTTATTACAAAGACTACATCGCCATGGTTGATATTTTCAGATTATTTACCACATTTAAAATGTAGGCTATTTATAATATTGATTTTCGCTAGTGATCAAGTCATATGATAGTGATTAGCTCTAACTCGATTGATTGACAGTATTAAATCTCTGGGCAGTTTATAGCGTTTATATTAAGGTTTATTTTTCTGGTTATAAGACAGGCTCAAGTATTTTATTCTCTTGGTGATTTTCCAGATTTTTATTAGTATCATTTTATATCGCCTACAATTACTTTGTTAATATAGTATTGATAGTAGGATTTCGTTAATTTGTATAAATTTTTTTTAGTTACTTTTTTCACGAGCTTATCAGCATTGTAATTATCTGTGATACCTAAATGTCCTGAAATCCAGTGGAATATTAACTTGTGAGAAGGGTATCTTGTTTTGAAATGTCCATACTTTTGTTTTATTTGAAGCATATAATAATTTTCTTTAACATCAGTAGAATAGATATAGTTTAAGCTAGAGATTGCAAGATCCTTTGAGAGTGCAGGAAAATAAGGACATTAAATTCATTTTTTTCTAAAGCTACATCCATAGCACAGTCTATAGCGACCCGTTCTCGGAATGCTCTTTTGTATCCCAGCCAGCGCTCCACCAAATACCACCTAAAATTATTATTGTTTTGAAGAGAGTTACATTTAACTGAAATATTGTTTAGTGCAAAATAAAATTAATGAGTAATCAAAATTTAGTCCTAGTAAGCGCGTATTTTTACTAGAGTCGATAGAATGACCTCTTTTTCCTATAGTAATGAAACCAGGAGGAGTTATATTCAAACCTTTTCCTCAAGATCACAATGCAGTACCCCTAATGGAGTGCCGATATTACCACAATTTTTTAAAGTTTAAAAACTAACAGTGTGCGCTTGA